TGGGAAAGGAACGGAAGAAACTGATATTTTAAACGGGTGACCGGCCGTTAAAGACAGACGTTGGAAAAACGGGGAGTGCTCTACAAATCTATGTATCCAAAAGCAATCACAACCATTTGCAACCAATCTCACTTGCATTATGACCAGACACAACCCGTCAGGTTTGCTACTGGAGGAAACRCGACCATCACAACAAAAATAGAAAGGGTTTGGCACGTGATTTTTTAAAAAGGGGGTGAGTATTCTCGAAAAAAACRTMGTGAGAGCGTGCGAGAGGGTGCGATCACTTTTTGTGACGGAACGAGAAAAAAAAGGAAGAGAAAAATATAACACAATAAAAGGAAATTAATACACGAGGTGCTATCATAATAAATTTAAAATGATATTGATAACCATAGATGAGAGTTTCAAAAACCAGCAATAAAAAAATCGTGACAAGAGCTGTATAATAAATTATAAGGAAAGGAATTTTCGGTTGAGAGTATTAAAATATAAATTAAAATTAAATATTGCGTGTAAGAGATAAAGACATTTCGCCTGTTCGATCCAGGATTTTTGTTACCTAGATAAAACATTCAAAATTAAGTACATGAAAATCAATAATGAGGGCAAGAAAATTGTATAAGCGACTACAAAAGTTTCAATATCAAGATGAGATTATTGAACCGAAATTGAGAAATTTCAAAACTAGGATGAAACAGCCCTAGCTACCTAGGGTAGGGAATGTAGKGCATGCGACATTGTTGCGTGCATAGTGGGGGGAGAAATTTGCTGAAACACGCAACAAAATACGGAAGAAAATTTTGTTCGTGTGGTGCGAGAAAATATTACCGGGATGAAAGTGCTTTGTGTGACGAACCTTGTTAGTGCTAAAATCTTAGAAGTAAGTCCCAGTAGTATTATCTCCCAGAACCAATTCTTTTTGTCATGTTCTTGTTGCTGGAATTTGCCTCTAACAACAACACCAAGAACAACACCAGCAAGAACACCAACACCAGCAGCAAGAACACCAAGAACACCAAGAACACCAACACCACCAAGAAGAAGAACACCAACACCAAGAACACCTCCAACACCTTCAACACCTCCAACACCACCACCACAGACACAGACMTTTCCTTTGATGAACAATGCCTGGGGTAAATATGCAAACTGCTCACCAGTTTGAAGTCCCTGTATTATTTCCCATCACCAGTTCTTCTTTCACTACTGCTACTACTAGCTACTAGCTAGTACTATGATGATTTGTTTTCGGGACTCCGTGTAGAATCCATCTTCTCTGCGTGGGAAGTGCTTCGAACTCGCATCGGCTGTCAAATAAATAATACAAACAACACCCAAACAATGAAGCTGCAATCTGTTCACAATCGTTGTAACAGTAACAGTAGCAGCCACCATAAATCACAACGGCTCGTTGCGACAAGACGATGGCAATCCGTTTCACGTTTTAGACGGGGATCACACTGAAGACAGAGATCGAAGCGGCTCGATCGATTGAATCAACCGATTGACAGATCGATTGGTTTTGATTCCGCGGGAACAGGAACAGGAACGGCTCAAGCCAACAGGCCTAGAGTTTGAATTTCTCTGCCAACGGGAAAAACACCCGCTGTCGCCGGCGACGTGTGCTTCTTGTGTGCCCTGGGAACCTCAGCAAAGACTGTCATGGATTGCCAGGGATTGGCTTGGGAGAGAAGCGAGGCATGGACCCTTCGAATAGCAACGATGGCGATCAGCCCTCGCTGCTGTCCCTGCTGACCACCGTTGCGGTGGAGAACGAGAACGTGGCCGCAAACAGCAGCAACAGCAACAACCACAATACCAATATCAACGGGGGGCCGGGGCTGTCCCTTCCGACCGCCCTCCCGGATACTTCCCCCCGGTTGGGAGACGCTCCAGCCAAAAGGCCCGCGAACCACGACTTCAACGACAATGACGACGACAACGACAGGCATAGACATAGACACAAGCTCAAATACGACCCGTGCTACGATCCGCTGCCGTATCGGGTGCCGAACGGAGCGGACAGAGACGACGAAGCTTCCCGGGACGAAGGGCCACGGGTCTTTGGACCTTCCCCGTTTCGAAGGGATCACCATCAGCAGCACCAGCAGCAACGATACGATTCCTCACGGGAACAAGCAGTAGTCGAGGAATCGCTGGAAACGCACGATGTCGGGATTGGAGAACCGTATCCCCTGTTTTCCCGGCAGTACGGGGACCAAGCATCCCATCCGCAACTCCGGTTGCAACTCGCCAAAACAGGAGACGGCCTCGAAGAGAGACCGCCGGGATGGCAACCACAGCAGCTGCAACAGCAACAGGAACAGCGGCAGGAACAAGAACGAATAGACAGTGCCATTGATGCCACCGACAACTCCATGGACTTGGAACCGTCACCGGTTTGGCCAAACGAAGCTGCTTACGCTATCAAGGCGAGAGAGGGACAGCGACCGGGATCGTTGACGAACCGCTCCATGATGAACGACGACAGCGACGACGCCGGCGGCAAAGTCAACGGCAACGGCAACGTCGGAGACGACGACGACGACGACGATTCGAACCCCATACMCCTGCAACGAGGTTTCCACCCGGTGCCGCACCAGCAAGAGCTGACAGAATTCGGGGTGGAGAAACAAGGACTCCTGCCCATGCTCGAAATTCCTCCGCAGCAGCAGCAAAGAACCCTTTTAGCAACCGATATCACTAGTCCGTTAGCAACCAATGACGAAGGAGGAGTTGCACCGGGTGGATTTCCAGAGGGGGCTTACAAGCCACCGCCACCACAGCAGCCACAGCAGGTACCGCAAATACCGGCAAACCAACCTCCGCAGCCACTGCCCGCCAACCACAGCGATTTCTCTTATCCGTCTCCACACTTTTCTCCGGGACAAGAAGAGCCCCGGCACCGGATGTCCCTCACGCTACACGGACGAGAGTCGCTTCCGGCCCCGCAGATGACCACGGAGCGCGGGTCGACCCCGATTCCATCATCCTTCGAGGCCAACCACGGTGGCGTCTTTGCCGATGATCCCGGCCCTCGCATCTTCGAGGGGGGGCAGGCTGCTGCTGCTGCGACTGGAAATCCCATCCACTTTGAGGCCATCGCCGGGGAAGACCGTTACCTGCCGCCCCGCGATCGATTCGAAGATCCCCCTGCCTTGCGGACCGACCGGAAGCGACCAAGAAACCATCGGACGGACGGAAGCGGAGGGGCCGCCCCGAGAAAGGGGCCGGCCAGCGGGTCCTCCCGAACGATCTGCGGAGTGCCGCCGGAGGAAGCGCGGACAAAGTGGACGGGGGGCGATACCTACGTCGGTCGGATCCACACCATGCTGGAGGAAGCCCGGGGGAACGGGTTTGCCCACGTCGTGAGCTGGCAGCCCCATGGCCGCGCCTTTAAGATCCACAAGCGGGAAGAGTTTGCCGAACGGATTCTCCCGAGGTACTTTCACACGAAAAACATGAAACACTTCCAGCGGTGGCTCTCGGCATGGGGGTTTGCCCGGCACGGCGAGGGGACCGACCGGGGGGCGTACTACCACCGGTACTTTGTCCGGGGCGTGGTCGTGGCCCTGGTGAAAAAGCTGACGAGGGCGGAAATGCGGCGGTCCATGAAGGACTGGTTGGCTCCTGGAGAAGTTCCCAACTTTTACACCGAGAAAGATAGCACCCCATGCCGATCGAAATCATCGAAGATAGGAATGCAACCGGCGTTCGAAGGGGCTACCGGCAGAGAGAAGGACGACCGACACCACCACCAAGAGCAACACGCGAAAGGAAACGAACCCGGCGATGACAAGAACGACGAGCCAGGAATCTCCAACGAACGCGGATCTGTGGTGCTCCACAACAACCCAAAATATCTGCGGGGAACGGTTCTCAAGGACGTTCGGCGGATGCTGGAGGATGCAAGAACGCAGCACTTTGCGCACGTTGTGTCCTGGTTGCCCGGCGGGAGGGCCTTCAAGATCCACAACAAGAAGTCTTTCCAGGAATCGGTCTGCGGCAGGTATATGAAAACGGCAAAACTGTCGTACTTTTCGGATTGCCTTCGCACCTGGGGCTTTTGCCGGCTGAAGGAGGCTGCCGGGGAAGAACAAAATGCGTACTACCACCGGCTGTTTCGGGACGGCAAACCCGAGTTGTATCGGCATCTCTCTCGGGCACAGATGCTGGAAGCGATGAAAGACTTCAAGGAAGAGCAGAAACGACAGAAAGAGATATCCTGGTCGCTCTTCCCCCACCATCGACAGAACTTCGGAATCAACGGAAATGAGAACGATGCCGTCGCCAACAGCATGAAGCTACAGCCGGTGTCCAAAGAAGCTGCGAGAAAAGCGAACCCGGAGGAGCTCGCTCTGGCGACTGCTACCGCCGCAGAAAGGCTAGCTGACAGGGCAGAAGTCGAAAACGAGATCAAGGCCATCGGGGAACCTCTCCACCTGGTCCAAGCTGCGTTTGCGAATCCGCTTTCTCAGCCGCAGGATTTCCTCACCGGATACCTCGATGTTCACAACGGCAACAAGGAAGATGCAAGGAGCGCCACGAATCCGCACAATAGCAACGCTATGGACATGAGCATGCGCAATCGCTTCATCGACAATTGTGACCTCGACCCAACCTATCAGTCGGTCCATCCTAGCACGGCCACAGAAGTTTTTGCTCCCGACGCAAGAAGGCCGTTGGCGGCACCCGGCGATCCGCGAACTGCCTCTATCGTATGCCAGACACCAAAGCCGACTTTGCTACCGAGTCCCATGGCGCGCACCGCGAATCTGTCGTACGCCATGAGGATCCACGCAATGCTGGAGGAAGTCGAGGCAAAGGGGAGGACCGACATTGTGTCCTGGATGCCCCACGGGAGAGCCTTCAAAATCCACGACGACAGAGCCTTCGAAACGAAGATCCTTCCCCAGTATTTCAAAGCTACTCTGCCGTCGTTTACGCGCTGGTTGCTGCACTGGGGATTCGTGCGCATGATCACTGGAAAGGATCGGAAGTGTTGGTACCATCGTCTATTTGTTCGAGGAGTAGTCGAACTGATTCGGGACCACACACGGCAGGAATTCTTCGACGCGATGAAAGAATGGAGGGACCAGGGCAACGAGCCAGACTTTTATTCTTCCGGGACGGGGGAAGAAATATCCGAAATGCCGTTGGTTGCAAAGAAGAAACATACACGATCGGACAAGGAGAACAATAGTATCGACGAGACAGAGTCCGAACCCATACCAACCATTGCGGCAAGAGAGCAGAAAACGAATCCTAGGATATTGCGAGGCACGGTTGTAGAGGACCTGAGGGAAATGCTGGATTCCGCCCAAGCGGAGGGGAATGCTCACATCGTAAGCTGGCTTGCCCACGGGAAAGCCTTCAAGATTCACAACCAGGACGAGTTCGAGGCGAACATCATGGGGCAGTATTTTAAGGCTTCCAAGTACCGCTATTTTACAGATGTGCTCCGGAGCTGGGGATTCGTCAAGCTGAAGGAAGGCAGAGACAAGGGTGCCTACCACCACAAGTACTTTGCCAAGAATGATCCCAAGCTGTCACACAATCTCTCTCGGGCCCAAATGAAAGCTTCGATGAAGGGATGGCCGAAACAGAATGTCCCTAGTTTCTATGACGAAAACTAACCATAGCTCCAACCCTGCGAACAAGCCAACAGTCCAGCAAACAATACTGTAGCGTTTTGAAAAAAGGAAGCGAAGAAATGCGAATGGAATTTCATCCGTTATTTCGTAGATTCGAAATCTCTCGAAACAGTTCGACCGCGCCGTGTAGACTCGTACCGATACAGTATCGTGTACGTATACCGTGCCACTGTTGAAACCACACAGAAAATAAAATTTTATCCTATAATTCATTACTGCCAGGATAATCGGTGCCGTCATGTTTCTTCTCGTTTGCTTTCGGGTCCACGTCTGGTGTGCACCTCCGGCACTCTTTTCTGCACCACTGGTGCATGAAGTTGGGGTTTTTGTCGCATTCCTTCCCGCTACGGTTCCAGAACGGGCAGTGCCCGCTCAGGTCGTAGCAAAGCCGCTTGGGAATGACGTATTCTCTCCGGTGCTCATCACTCAGAATCTTGACGTTGTACAAGCAGGTGCCATCGGTCATTTTCCACCGTCCAGGAGCGCCCTCGAGGGTGTCGGTCCGGGCGTCTCGTACCCACCACTCGCTTGCGAGCGTTGTCACGTGGACCGCACGTCCTCCATTGGCGTCGATAATCCCCTTCGCATGGCCTCCCCGATCGTGGATCCAGAACACTGGTAGGTGACAAAACGTTTTAATTTGGTCGTAGCACATGACAGAAGAGAAGATATCAGAGCACCGAACGAAAAAAAATAGAAAAATATGTGAAAGCCACAGCATTGAAACACACCACATCAAAAGAAACGCATATCATAACCACAGAACTGTACAACAACCAACTTCAATCACAACAGCAACGTACATTCTACCGGGTGGTCATGGTGATTGACAAAAACCACCTCTACCTCGAGTTGTTTCCATGTCCACTGGTCAAAGACTTGTCTCTCGTCTGTCGACAGCCTCCGATCCCAAGCCGCCTTATCCCAAAATTTTTGTCCTTTCTTGCCAAAGATGAAGACTGGTTTTTCCAGAGATCCGCCTCTCGGAATCCCAAAAAACTCGGTCAGGTCGTTCGAATTGTGGTAACGAACCACCGATGTTTGCAGCAAATCCTCCCACCAGATGCCCTGCGAGGACTTGGCCGCAAATGGCCAGGGGTAGACCATCTCGTCCATCAGGTGCGTTTCGAGAGGCGGCGTGTAGAAACAAATCATAATGTCGCGTTCTAAAACCGCTTCGCCGTCGATTGTCGCCGTAATGATAGTTTCCAGCTGCTCGAGGGAGACAATGTGCAGGATTCTCGACTGGGCTTGTTTCACGTCGAATCGGTCCTTCAATCTTGGTTTGTAGTAGCGATGGTTTCGGGAGCCACCACCAGTATTCCAGCGAAAAGTCCACTGGGGTCCTCCGCCCCGGTTGCCACCCCCATTGCTGGTATTACCGTTACCGCTGGTTTGCCCCGTTCGATCGTATCGATTTCTGCTGGACTTGTCGCTGAGTATTTCGAAGGCATGGACGACTTTGTGAAAGGCCGCCGCGGCTTCTTCAGCTGGAACGCCTTTGTTTTTGTCGGGATGTGTGTCGAGTGCCTTCTTTCGGTATGCCTTTTTGATTTCCTGCACCGAAGCGGTCCGCGAAACACCAAGAATTTCATACAGATCGGTGATTTCCGAAGCAGCAGCATTGGCAACGGTAGGAGGGAAGAACCAAGTAAAATGGTGGTTGATAGAATTGTTACTAGAATAGGCAAAGAAGATAAAGAATAGGGAAAGGATTGCGGAGAGCACCGACATAGTGAGCAAAGTAGGGAGGCATTGATGAGCTTTGCACATTCTCGTATCATCCTCCTGGCCGATCATCAAAGCGAATATGTGTTGGGAAAAAAAAAACGACGACAACTAAAAGCGACTTTCTCGTTAAATTCTTTTCGTCACTAAAGCTCCAGACTCGGCGGCAAGACGGCTTCGCAATGGTGCCGGATACGTTAAAGTTGTGGTCATAATTGCCCTCGTACCTTAAAAACTACACGAAGAGTCATCGATATTATTAATGACCCCTGACCGACAATATCCATCATATGTACTTTGATTACATTAGTTCCATAGTAGAGTCGTTCTGAATAATTGAGATTACTGTTTCGTACTGTACCAAGTACTGCAGGGGTCATAATTTAGAGGGGAGCGCAACGAATTTTTTTGCGAGTTATGAAGCACGAAAAAAAAGTGAAACTCTTATTCCACGTGTGGTCCAAATTTCCAAAAAGTCCCCTCAAGATTTTTTTTCATTCTCATTTTTACTGCATAATACTAGTAAAACTATCCAACCTTTAAGCAGTTACAGCTCTATCAAAAATATTACTATTTTAATTTTTGAGTAGCCAGTCTAGTMCAGTTTTTTATGCTGATTCTGAAGGTACCATTTTCTTGGATATTAAATTTATATTTGTGGTACTATTTTACTATTGAAAAATGAACATAATTTTCCACAGCAGCAGTAGTAGTAGTAGTAGTAGTAGTAGTAGCAGCTGGTACTAGTACTAATACTCTATTTCAACAGTAAAATAGTACCACAAACATAAATTTAATATCCAAGAAAATGGTACCTTCAGAATCAGCATAAAAAACTGGACTAGACTGGCTACTCAAAAATTAAAATAGTAATATTTTTGATAGAGCTGTAACTGCTTAAAGGTTGGATAGTTTTACTAGTATTATGCAGTAAAAATGAGAATGAAAAAAAATCTTGAGGGGACTTTTTGGAAATTTGGACCACACGTGGAATATGAGTTTCGACGCGTTGCGCTCACCTCTAAATTATGACCCCTGCTGTACTGTACGGTTCGATACGAGAAATCGTACACGTTCGTACCGTACGTACGTACTCGCACAGATATTTTTTTCAAATGGCGAACCCTTTTTCTGCAGCAGTCTTACCCCGACCGATGGATGTACCGGTAACAACTCGTACGAGTGCCATGTGATCGAGTCGTACTGTGGATTAATTATTAACAAATACTTCCAACGTGCACGGTTTTGGAACGCGATCACAACGTAGAGAAATGACTTAGATTTCTTTTTCCTATCAATAGCTAAAAATTTCTATTAGTATTTGTACGGGGATTGCCAATAACTTGCCATTATGGGGCCCGTACTTAGTAGCTCTAATTCCGACGGTCTCGCAATTCTTGGTCGCCCTGTCCACTCTCCGACAAAATTTAGAAAGGGCACTATTTGCAATGTTGATTCCAACGGAAAATAGGCGAACGTGCCCAAAAACCCTAGCCAGAAAAATTTCCGCCCTCATATGCATAAAAAATAAAACCTGACCCCGACTTTGAGAACGGTACGGTGCAGTACCTGGTACCGTAGCATGATTTACTTACTGGGTGCTAAAACCGAGACACCTCGCCCAGATGGGATTTTGAAACGCATCCAGAGTACTTATTTGTTCCGAAGCAGTTAAAATTAGACCTACTGTTTTTCGTCCGAACGACACTAACGGAAAGAAGCGGGACAATATTCACCATCTCGACCATTATCGAACATTAAAGTAGCTCGGAAGCATAGCAAGATTTAGTCGTATCTTGCAACCATTGTCCATATTCCTTTTCTACATTCTATCGAACAAATATAACCTTTGGGAGCCTTGGACGACGTGGGTAAGGATTGTGCAAGAACTTAGGAAGCTGAGCAAAGACAATATCGTTGAAAGAAATGGAAGATGGTGCATTTTGTAGCACAAACCCCCCCTTCTCCGCGGCGAAGGATTCGACCAAATTGGAGGCCCCACCGGCATCCTCCTGAACACCAGAACCCCCTTTCTCCACCCGACAGTTCACTATCTCCTTCACCGAAAACTCCCATCCAAATATTCTCATCGTCGCTGGCATCATCGAAAAAGATGTTTCCTATGGCGGCACTCTTGACAATATGCCTGCTCTTGTCTCTTTTAGCCGACAACACGGACGGCGCAGGTCCGGAAATGGACGACATGAATCTAGGCCTTGGACGTCGTTTGCGGTTCCGGAACCCATCTACGAGTCGCCTTTGGCGAATAACCGAGCCAATGAAAAACGACTTTGATGAAAACGCCCCAGAACTTGTCGGCGGTCTGCGTTATTTGACCTTGGGTGGACCTTCTACCTTCGGAAGAGGCCTTGGTGAGAAAAGAACGTCGGAAGCATATCCCTACCTACTGTCTTCGGAGGGTACGATTGGGCAAGAACGCGTTCGCAATGTGGCCCAGTCGCAGTACGAAACGGGAGATTTGGCGTTTGCATCGCTGTGCACGCAGTCGCTTGTAGAAGGCGAGAGTGCGAGGGAGCGAGCGAAGGAGGGGTCATCTTTGGAATCAGAGATCGACAGCCACTTGGACTCTTCCTCTTGGTCGTCTTCTTCTGTTGCTTACGATGTTATCACCCTGGAATATACGAAGGACGGCACTAGTGATGTTGCTTCGGCTGCATATACGTCGTCGATGAATTTGTTGACGCGACGACTTCGAAAACGGTATCCGCTTTCTACAATTGTTGTTGTCCAGCTATGGAGTCCATTGGATTTGGTTTACTACGACCCCGTAGCCAACCGAAATGTATCCTTTGCAGAATGGAGGAATCGTAAGGAACAGAACAATCAACAGTATCAGGACAAAAATCGTTTAAAAATGAAGAAACAAAAGAAGCTTTCGGTGGAGGCGATGAAGGAGCATGTTTGGACCTTCCGAGATTTATCACCGGCAGAGCAGCAGCGAAGCAACGACCTAGAAAATATGGTCGTTATCGAAGAGGGAGAAATATACCGAATGTCTCGCCCGAGAAACATCAACGATTCTTTAGATATAATAATGGATTGGTTCCTCGAGGAAGAAATCAAGGCAGAGGACGAGGATAATACATCTTTGTCTCTTCACTATACTCTTTCTCGACGAGGCCATTCTGTGGTAGCAGCAGGACTACGGGATGTCCTGGCGCTATCGGCTGTTCCTCGAACAAGGCAAAACGATTCTGGTGCATTTCAAGTACAATCTGCCCCTCGCCAGTATCTCGGATCTTGGGGATCGGGCGACTCGTGCCAACTCTGGTATAGGACGGGGAAGGATCGCATTCCCGACTCACTAGAATACTCGATCGGATTGAAGTCTGAGGAATTTTACCCCAAACAATACGCATTGGAGGTTGTGTCTTCGAAAGGGGGCACCTTAACCGTGTACAATCATTTTGACGAGGATAGAATTGTGTACCTGACCTACCTTACGACATCGGCCAGGGCAGCCGCCAACAAGGTCTACCCTAAAACAAAGGTATCAATGGTCAAAGAGCCGATGCAGACCGGACATACCACCATCGTCCTTGATCCCGCTCACGACGACAACAGCGACGTCATGCACCGAACGAGGACCTCGGCTGTCGGCCTGGTCAAAGCTCGTTCGAAAGGGATACTGGAGTTCACCCCGCTCGAGGAATATACCGTACATCACTTTCGAATCGTGGGGATCTCCTTCCTGACGAAAGAAAAGACGCCACACGATGTACCGTTCGAGTTTGCCATTTCACCGAGGAAATTGCTCATCAGCAAATCGGACGATGCGATTGCTAATGAGGATATGGAAGGGGAAGAGTAATAGACATGTTTTGAAATGAGAGGAGAGAGAATGCATCTCATTCTAGCATTATTGCGTCAGACAAAGCTGGAAACTGAGCTCTTGATTTTCATTTCGTATTGCATTACTATTATCACCATCTTGGAAGCTCTAATCTAATTTTGATCATCTAGATAGTGTTGTTGCTATGATTCGTTCACACGGTCCCTCAATGCACAATAGACTTGTATCATCCATTGTGCGCCAGCTAGACGGCTTCTGCTTCATCTTTCATTTCTTCGGACCCGACGACAGCAAGCACTGTTCCGTCTCCCACCACATCACCCACCTGGAACGGAATGCTGGAAACAATACCGCTTTGTGGCGATGGCACCGTGTGCTCCATCTTCATGGCTTCCATAACCAAAAGAACATCTCCCTCCCGGACCATATCCCCAACGGAAGCGTTTATTTTTGATATCTTTCCTGGCATCGGAGCGGAGACCACTCCCTGCCCCGACGAGAAACCAGTCTCGTTTTGTGCCATGGTCGGAATCCGTGGATTGGGGACGGAAACCTCCCAGAAATAGTGGCCCTCGTTTCGCAGCAAAAGGGATTGTGGCCACATACAAACCTGGTATTGCCCGTCCATCTCACGGAGAGCTACCGTTAGCGCCATCGTCTTCGACCCGTCGACGACGATTTGCATGTACTGGTCGGAAGACAGCGTGCCGCCGATGTGAAACAAAGTGCCGTTGCCATTGCTTTCCTCTTCCGTGGTCTTCGTGATGCGGATTTCGAACGACCCGTCCCGAAGAGCCGTGGTTTCTACAGAGGTCCCGTCCGCCGTTTCAAGTTTTTGACAAGAATGTCCCCCGTTTCTCCAGGAGCCCGAGAGCGAGTTCCATGGCGAGGTTTGTATCCGGCGTTCCGCCTCAAAATCAGAAACGCCGATCCGTCCCTCTGATTGCAGCAGGGAGGCGAAGACAGCGATGGCGATGGCAAGCTCGGGGGGTTCATTTTCCACCGGTGGAAGGATCTCGGCCATGTGGTCGTCCAAAAAACCGGTGTTGGTGGCTCCTGCTTTCCGAAAGGTCCTGTGCTCGGCACACCGAATCAGAAAATCAATGTTGGTCGGAACCCCCGAGAGCTGGTACCGCTTCAGGGCATCGGTCAGTTTCTCGAGGGCCTTTTCGCGGGACTCATCGTGTACAACAAGCTTGCAGATCATCGGATCGTAATCCACGCCGACCTCCTGGCCGGCCTGGATCCCGGTATCGACCCGAACCCCATTCGAGGCCCGCAAGTTATCCTCCCCAACGCCTACCGCGTTTGGAGGTGCCGGTGGCTTGTGGTGCCAGACCGTTCCGGCGGTTGGCAAGAAGTTTCCGGTGCCCGGATTTTCGGCGTAGATGCGCGCCTCGAAGGCGTGGCCCCGGCAGGGTATGGCGGCCGGATCCGTGATCGGAAGGGATTCTCCAGCAGCAATCCGGAGTTGCCACTCCACCAAATCGATTCCGGTGATGAGCTCGGTGATGGGGTGTTCTACCTGAAGGCGCGTGTTCATTTCGCAAAAGTAGAATTCTGGATCTTCTTTCGTTTTGTTGGATTCCAAAAGGAACTCGACCGTGCCGGCATTCACATAGCCAACGGCCTTGGCAGCCCGGCAACCCATTTCACCCAGTCGCTGGCGTAAGTTTTCAGAGAGATCCGAGGCAGGGGCTTCCTCTATAATTTTTTGATGCCGTCTCTGAAGACTGCAATCCCGCTCGTGCAAACTCACCACATTTCCGTAATCATCTGCAACCACTTGAACCTCGACATGCCGGGGTTGCAGCAAGTATCGCTCCAGTAAAACCCTCGAATCTCCAAAGGCATTCAGGGATTCCCTTTTGCACGCCTCGAGTTTTTCGAGGAATTCCGATTCCGACCACACCAATCGCATCCCCTTACCGCCGCCTCCCATGACAGCCTTTATCAAGAGAGGGAATCCCACGTCTTGGACTGCCCGTTCCAGTAGGTGCAATGGTTCTTGCTCCTCGTCGCTATCTCCATAAAAACCGGGAACCGTCGTGACACCCGCCTTTTCCATTATCGCTTTTGATTTTGACTTGGATCCCATGGCAGTAATGGCCGAGTGCGGGGGCCCAACAAATTTCACGCCGCCATTTGTTTCGGTTTGGACCCGCTGGCAAAATTCAGCATTTTCGCTCAAAAACTAGACGGGGGCGGAGATCAACGAGTGAAACGGGAACAAAACCAATCAGTAAGACCGCGGTTGGTGTGACCTGTCGATTGGAGAAACGAGAAAGACGCACTTTGAAGTTTGACAATTCTGCACACAACTGAAAGAAGACTCACGCCATAGCCCGGGTGGATGGCCTCCGCGCCCGATCGGAGTGCAATCTCCAAGACCTCTTCCTGGAGCAGGTAGCTCTCGCTCGGAGAGCTCCCAAACCCAATCTGGTAGGCCTCGTCGGCGCTTTTCGCGTGCAAGGACTCGGGGCCGTCGGCAAGGCTGTACAGGGCCACCGTAGGGATGTCTAGGAGACGACAGGTTCGAATGACACGGCATGCAATCTCCCCCCGGTTGGCAATCAGTACCTTGCCCGGGAGTGGTGGCAGCGACGTCGGCACGGGGGACGGCGAAAGCGAGGATACGCACCGGGGAGAAGGACGGGCACGATCGTGCGGAATCCTTCGATCCTGCGGGCCCAGACGTTCGTCGAATCGCAAAGCAACCGACGAGAACGGCGATGACGAATGCGCGGACGGGATTATCGACACACCTCGGGATGGGAACAGCGACGTGGCCGAGGGGCGAGTCCGAGCAATCCGCTGCAGAGCCAGCATTCTTTTGGGTGGATTGATAAGACGACGATTCGATCCAGTGTTGCAAATCTTGCCTGTGATATAGATTCGCAGGAGTCTGGTTGTTCGTGGGCTGGTTTCAAACAAGGGGATGATGACAATAACAGTACTTTTTATGATTCGAAATGGCGTGAAGTATGAATTCCCAAAAAGAAGAATTCTCGTTTTCGATCATGATTCTTGCTTACTGCTTGTTGATCGATCTGTTGTCATTTCGTGTCGTGTTTCGCACCGTACGTACCGTACTGAAACCTAGCGTAACTACAGTTCGACTGTTCGCTTCGGGTACGAGTAAAGTAGAAGTAACCGTTACGTACCATAACGTACCATAACGTACTACGTACCGGTACGATTAAAACAAGCATATTCGCCTTGATTGGATTGAATCAATCGAGTCAAAAATATTTGAATCGTTCGAGTCGTCGATCTTTTCAACGGTGATCATGGCACCCTACCAGGTACGAGCCCTACCGGTACCGTAATAAAACAAGACTCGACTCCGTCCCTCGGCCGAGAAGAAGGGTGACAGATTCATTGTTTACAGGAATTCCTTCTACCGTACTTCGTAACTCGTAAACTGTAGCACGAGTACGAGATACGAGATACGAGGTACGAGAACTCTAAACTCTACAGGTACGACCGGTACGGCGAGAATCCAAACCGAAAAAGGATCTTTTTTATTTTTTACTGAACAGTATTTGAGCGACACAATATTATGGATGCATTCGGATTTGATTGTTTCGACTTGACTCTCATTGTTGAGACCCACCCCATTTGGAAGCAACAAAGACCCCACTTAGCTAGTACACCGATCGAATCGCTAATTGTTTTAGTGAGACATCGATTTGGAATTAGATACGTGTAGCCGACGAAGACGAAGAAGCAAAAGCAGTGAAATAATTCTGCGTAAGAAAAGCCCCTCCGCCATATATATTGATTGCATTGTTTTAGAGCGTTCCAAGAGAAGGAGCAACTCAAGATGCTAGAAGGCTTCGAGCTATGGGTGCCCCCAACGGTGCCAAATTATAAGGATGAAATGCCATACTACGACATTCTGGGCACCGACGCGCAAATCGTTCAATTTCCGGTGCGTGCCGGTCGACAGATCATGTGCTTTTCGGGTGCCATGGCCTACATGAGCGAAGGTGGGTTTTTGCTCGTTCGGTTTTGGATAGAGTCGACTTTCGATCAATGCACGTTCGTTGTCTCACACCTCCCTCTTGTTCTGCCACTCACTGCACAAAAGGAATGAAGATGGAGTGCAAGCTAGCGGGGCTCGGAAAGACCTTTGGCCGTTTAGCCGGTGGTGGGTCCCTCTTCCAGATCACCTACACCAATGACAGCACCGAAGACGGCTATATTGGAATGACGCCCGACTATCCCGGTGTCATCGTCCCCATCAACATGGCGAAGGCAGGAAAGGTGATCGCCCTGCGAGATTCCTTCTTGTGCGCCACCGTTGGGATGGGAGAGACCATGACGGACGTTGGTGCGGGCTTCAACCCAGCTTCTTCGGCCCTGGCTATGTGCTGCAGTGGCATGGATTGTACGTAGAGAGCCTTTGCTATCTTGTGTCGGTTCTTCTTGCGGGAAAATTCAGCATCTGGATCCMGGAATCCTGCAAAACACATTGTTGCCTTTCCGACAACTCACTTGGTTATGGTTTCGTTTGTCATTGTTCTTCCATGCTTTTGGTTTCTGTGTTTATTCTTTTTTCCTGATTTTGCGTCAGTCATTGTCCAAACGGTCGAAAACGGAGAATGGGCTTTTTTGATGGCCATGGGAACGGTCATCAAGAAGACTCTAAATCAAGGAGAGACCTTACTGGTAGATGGAAAGAGCATCTTGTGCTTCGAGTCTTCTGTCTCGGTGGATGTTCGGCCGGTTGGAGGTATTGCTGCAATGTGCTGTGGCGGCGAGGGAATCTTCAATACCGAACTCACGGGTGAGTAGCGAGCTTCTGTTACGTTGCTAGTGCTGCAAATAATGTATCTATGTCAGTGTGAGAGAGCTATGACGATGGAAAGAGTCTTGTTTCATGCGTGTCCTTGCCTTATAATCAATTACTCCTTTCTTTCAAAATTTATCAGGCCCAGGGACCGTTCACTTGCAGTCGATGTCTATTGACAAGCTGCGAATGCTTTTCCCTCCCAACGTACAATCAAATAACCCAGACGATGGCGGCGACGGTGGTGAGTGAACTGGATTCACGGGCATCAAATTTCTGTGTATTTCTGTGTTTTKTCAGCCAGCCAATGGCAAAGAATGAACCAGGTTGTCGTTGCATTGGATTTTCCGCTTCTGTGGTACGGCATGGTGACCGGGACTTGAGCAAGAAATGAACAACCAAGGCTTGTTTTCGATTGATTTTGGGTTGGAGCTAGTTTGGTTTGAGCGATGAAAATGAAATATTGAACCAGATCGAATGTCAGGTGGCATTGCATGAATGAGCGAATGTGAACGTAATCCCAAAATGAATCCAAAAAAATCAACCATGGATCCTACAGTGATGTTTGTGCAATCGCATCAAGAACAAAGAAAGCTGTTTGATTTCTTTTTTAATAATTTTATCAAGGAATTCTGGTCTCGAATCAAACTGCTCAATAAGACGACATAGATTGTTTGTAGCGTTTTGAAACAATACTGTGAAATTGAATCCGTCTGTTCGTTTAATTGCATTGGAAAATATAAAACAAATCATTGTGTCGTAACTTCATGAAAAAACTATGAAATATGCATGTTTTCGGTTTTTGTTGTACATTTGATTCCTATGATTGTTCTTTTCCAGGCCCACAGGGGGCAGCATAGAAAAGAATGGGGATATCTTTCCTGGTAGAATTTATTTACCGGTTGATTTCAACGATTCGTTGAAAACCAGAATTTCATGCATCATGACGTTCATGATCAATCGTCCAAGTGGGTCGTCGACCACAAGATGAGGTTGCACGTGTTTTGAATGAGACCGCACATTACGAAAGATCCCTGCAGCGCCTTACCCCGAATGTTCTTTCTTGGAGTGAAATTTTCGAATCTTTGCGACACTCCAAGGCGACGACGACGGACAAGAATGCAACTTCTAGAGAACAAGAAGATTGCTGCCAAGATTGCGATCGACAACTTTCGATAAATGTTCGTCACGGATGACACAATTGTCTCGGATACGGGTCGGGCACTGTTTCAACGAGAATGATCGAGCACGCCATCGAAGCAAGTGGCATCACAGTCGCGTGATTGGCCATACCCGAAGGAAATGATTCATATGTTTAATCCTTCACGGAGAACATGGATGTGGTTGTGGCTGAGCCTACACTGCGGTATATCTGTTAGACGCACTCACTGCAGTTCAATTTGAAGTAGATGGCCAAGGCTCAAAGCTACGGCTTGCGGCACAAATTGTACTTCTACTAGATGACATTCGCTTTGGACCACTTTTGAACCTGTTCGTCCTTTTTTACGAAAACCACTCCCATGCTGCAGCTGCAACAGAAACAGTGAGACAGATGTCGACTCGCGGATTTTAGAGTACAGTACCGTACGGTAAGGTAGAGTGCGTACCGTACTTCATTGGCTTGGCATCAGATTTTTTATCACCTCTTTTTGTGAATAATCTCGTCTCAGATTCTGAAAACAATATCGTCCGTACGGCGACCGTATGTTTTTTTTAGAGAACGTGACCGCAAATCTTTCGTCTATTGCACGTGATTTAATCTCACATCATTTCTACGTAAGTTTCTCTCCCGCTTTGTCAGCCATACGGTACGCGGTTGGACAGTGTTCCAAAATTGATGCACGTTCCACCAATTTTTTTTTTAATTTCCATCATTGCGACTCCCCAGAACCTCGTAGATTTTGCGTTGCTTCCGGCATAAAGTAAATTAGACACCGAATTACTCGATATCCACCATGACCTCTTTCAAAGACTCGGTAAGTTCGAAGTTTGCTGTGGAGCGTTATGAGCGCTTGGTAGGGAGTACAGAGAAAGAGGTCAAATACAATGCTTGAGTTGCGATGAATGGAGTTGACCGTCACGGATTGGCCGACGACATCGCGGCGTCCGAAACTGTTTGTGCCGATTGACAAGTAGATACTGTTGCTAACAAATTTTCCAACTGACGGTTTGATGAAACTAATGAAAATTTTGTTGACCAAATGGAAACAAACGACTCCGCGTTTGAAATGGTGCGAAATCAAATTTGGGAATGTTATGACTTTATGGAACTGGATATCAGGAATTCAAAGGACTTGTCTCCCTTGCGGATCACGATCCTGAATTGTACGACTTGATCGAACAAGAAAAGAACAGACAATGGCGTTCGTTGGAATTGATTGCCTCGGAAAACTTTACTTCCAAGGCTGTAATGGAATGCTTGGGATCAGCTTTGACGAACAAGTATTCTGAAGGTCTCCCCCACGCCCGATACTACGGAGGTAACGAGGTTGTTGACCAGGTCGAGATTCTTTGCCAACAGCGTGCGCTCGCAGCCTATGGATTGGACCCCGAGAAGTGGGGCGTCAATGTCCAGCCTTACTCTGGGTCCCCTGCCAATTTTGCCGTCTACACCGCCCTCCTTCGCCCGCATGAACGAATCATGGGATTGGATTTGCCCAGCGGTGGTCACTTGACACACGGGTTTTACACGTACTCGAAGAAGGAAGGAACCCGCAAAGCTGTCTCTGCCACTTCGGTTTACTTCGAATCTCTTCCATACCGAGTTCACCCCGAGACCGGATATGTTGACCATGAGCAACTTGCCCGTGATGCAGGTCTTTTCAAACCTGCCATGATCATCTGCGGAGGATCTGCTTACCCCCGTGACTGGGACTACGCCAAATTCCGAGAAATCGCTGATGCCAACGGGTCCCTTTTGATGATGGACATGGCGCACATTTCCGGACTGGTCGCCACTGGAGAGCAATCTTCTCCTTTCGACTATTGCGATATTGTGACAACCACAACTCACAAGTCCCTTCGTGGACCCCGTGCTGGAATGATTTTCTTCCGTAAGGACGAACGTGGATTCGAAAACCGCATCAACCAAGCTGTCTTCCCCGCCCTCCAAGGAGGTCCGCACGAGCATCAAATTGCTGGTGTTGCCACCCAGCTCAAGGAAGTAGCCACACCTGAATTCAAGGTTTACAGTCAGCAGGTTAAGTCCAACGCTGCTGCCCTTGCGAACCGTCTTACCTCCAAGTACGGATACAAGATGGCCTCGGGAGGTACCGAAAACCACTTGGTCTTGTGGGACTTGAAACCAAACGGAATCACTGGATCAAAATTCGAAAAAGCCTGCGATCACGTCTGCATCACCCTCAACAAGAACTGCGTCCCCGGTGACCGATCTGCTGTCACCCCCGGAGGTGTCCGTATTGGCGCTCCAGCTCTTACAACCCGTAAGATGTGTGAAGAAGATTTTGAACAGATTGCCGAGTTCTTGCATGAGGTCTTGGTTGCATCTCTTGCCATTCAAGAGAAGTCCGGTCCTAAGCTGAAGGACTTCGCTGCTTTGCTAGAGGGCGACGCTACCCTCAAGGACATCCGCGACCGCGTCAACAAGTTTGCCACTTCCTTCCCCATGCCCGGTTTCGACCCCAAGGAAATGAAGTACACCGACCCTTCTGGTCCTTAAGCAAAAAGGGAAAATATGAATTAGACCAGAACACGAAGATCATGTTCTACTGAAGTAAGTAGAATTTAGCGGTCAATCGGTGGACCGCAAAATCAAATGATCTATCAATTGGCTTTACTCATCACAAGGGCAGTGAGAATAATATATAATAGAAAAATCCATGTAGTTGAAAATAATTAAAATGAGCCAATCTTCAGATTAATGATGACAAATAGATGTGCTGATGGTTTTTTTTTTCGATGTGGACTAGTACTACTAGATGATGACAAAGTTGAATGGATAGAGGTGGTCTTTGAAGAAGGAGAATAAAGAAATTAATCACTTCAAATTCTCAAAACAATGGATGAGAATACTTTTCCACCCTGGCATTCACTTATTGTTTATGGTAAATTGAAGCAAAAACCAGCAGTATTGGGTGATTCMACTTCATCGAGATGGTCCAAAAGTCTGCATGGTATACTTTAAACTTTTTACTAGTTAAACAGGAATCATTAAAAACAGGGTCCCAACAGTCATTTTTTGGCGCTCTTGGTGGACTCTTATGGGAATTTGGAATCTCAACAGAAATGACTAAGACTGGGAAAACGCGCCTGCTCTTTTTTGGGTACTAAGTAAAACATGATTTTTTTACTAGTAGTACTACTAGTAGCTAGCAGTAAAACGAACAAACAAATCTTTCAAACTCATAATTGCATCATCCTAACTATTAGACCATACTTTTCTTCCAGCAAAAAAAAGTGACGAGACAATGAGTGTTATCAATACCCTTTCCATATATTGGATGACCAAGCAAGCATAGGGATCAATTGGTGGAGGAATGGGAAGGAAAACAAAAGGCCCCTGAGGAGAGGCATAGAAGGGACAGAAGAACTCTCCACATTGCAATCCATAGGTATGTCAACTCCCTGTTTGTCTTCCTCTTCTAGTCAGGGAATGACCAAGCACTCCTTAACTGCTGTGGCATAGACCACAGGGTCTTCAGAGATCTCCTTTAGCTAATAGTCCAGATTTCAACAGGTACACAGTTGATAAGAACAATGAGGTTGTTCTTCTTCCCCCTTCCACTTGGAGTGAAAAGAAGAAGGGGTAGCCTACAGAAGCAGATGCAACTTGTTGCTATCTTGGACTACTACTAGTAGTGCTCTTCTGGTATAAGACACTAGTAGGGTCTGTTTCCAGGGAAAAAACTATGGCATTTGGTCTTACATCCACGATGATGTACAAATGGCTCAAGTTCTACACAAGAATCCTGCTGTCAGTGCTTCATAAACATCCACTTGCCATGGTCAGTCTGCCAAGTGAGCAAGAAATCAACAAGTATGTTAGAGCAAGTGGAGCAAAACATCCAAGAGTTGAAGAACAATTCATCTGGGGAGCAGCAGGTGGGCTCAAGAAGGTTGAGATAGTAGTACAGTCTTCAGAGGACTGGCTCAAGCAATGGATCTTCTTCAATGGATAGAAGGCAAAAACTTCACATAAATGGAATATGTCTTTGCACCAGACGGTAGGATTGGTATTGGGTGCTTCAACTGGCCAGACATGTGGCATGATAGTGCCATTAGCGACTATGGCGTGTATGACAAGATGGCCTGGTGAGTGGACAGAGACTGTGCTGGAGGGTCAAAGGTTGTTGTTGATTCAGCTTTTGGCTTGCTAGACAGGGACTTCCTCATTCAGAGTTCACAGACATATCCTAAGGATGAAGACAGTCCCCTATTGAACAGGGACGCAACATCACTAAGAGAGATGTCAGAGTGGGGGATGAGGATGATTCAAGGACAGTTCTACTAGCACACAATTTACATCACTATTAGATAGTCACTCCTGCAGCAGGTTATGACACCCTTCCAATAAAAAATCATCACCACCATGGTGATCTTTTTATGGTGTGCTGTCTCTTAACACGACTCTACCAACATTCCATCGTTCACATGCCTTTGAACATCAAATTGTCATTGCACATACAACACAACGACTACCAACACAAATCAACATTCATTGCCTGAAACAAACAGAATCGTTTGTTTCACCATACTCACCATTGTTGATGCCCAAATATTTTTTCCACCACTGTTTCAACAACAAAAATCATGATTCAAGACATACACTTTTATTTGTCAAAATACATTCGGCGTTAACACACCCATCATACTTTTTTAACTCCCACGAACACTACTGGCAAGAGAAGAGGACATCAAGATGCACCAAGACCTCAAGAGCTTTCTGGTACTTCCAACCAGGGAGGGAGCTGTCTCCAGTTTCAAGCCAGGCATTCTTTTGATGAATCCCATGGTCAAATGGCTGTGGTTGAATATGAAAGAACAGCTTGTTAGACACACAACAATTCTTGCAAGCTGGACTAACTTTGGGACAATTGGATTTCCAATAGGTGCCTTTGTTTTATTTTTTGAACCACCATGAGCCCCTTGCCCTTACCAATGGGGAGGATCTCCTCTTTGATGAGAGTCATGAGTAATTAACAATAGAAGCTCTGCTTCTGAGCAGTTTGTAGTACTGGCCTTACAAGCCGGCCCCTCTTCTTTTGGTTGTACTCTTTGGTGAGGGACTGGCATCGGCGGAGGCAAGCGATCCCTGTTACAACAACAAGGAGGAATAGTCGTAGTAGAAGGACCAGTCATGATCTTTGCTTGGGGAATGAATATTGTGAGAGGGATCTCCCCCCCCCTCCTTGTCTCAAGGCCTGATGCTTAAGAAAAGACCTCCAGCATCATCTCTCTTTGTTTCAATCTAAGATATATACTAGTAGTAGCTGTGACTAAGACAGGGGGGGATATTGTTTTTGTTGTCTGCTTTACTATGATCACCATAGGGCCGTTGCTTTCTTAAAAGGAGCCTTCTTTATTCAGTCTGCAATTTTGCGGGTCATTTAAGTTGAGTGCTATAACAGAGTGATTTTCATTCTTGGATTCCCCCAGACTAGATTTCAGCTGTTTGTCAAGGGTGAATTGAGCATTGAAAGAGAGTCTAAAAATTCGGACAACTTGGTCTATTTTTTGTCTGTCTGTCTGTCTGTCTGTCTGTCTGTCTGTCAAAAAGTAGATATTTCTACGCTACGTACCGGTATAGAAAGTTCAATTGTTATTTGTTCGTAGTATTTACTTGTACCGTACGGTAGTATGGTAAGAATATGGTAAGAAATCAGGGGACGTGACTTCCCTGTCTTTTATTGGGGGAAATAGGGCCAGTTTTTCATGTTTACTTTTCCCTTGCCAACCACTGACGTTCAAAGTAATTCGTGATTCGTGACACGGCAAGTCAGCATCCTACGGTGTGTACGGTAGTATGTTCACATACTGTCCAGTACATCAGTAGAAGTATTTCATCAGAGCATCTCATCTCTCATCACATACCTCTGTCGAAGAGCTTTTCTATTTTCCAGTTTTCTCCCGAGCAATCAGTACAAGCAACAAGAAGTAGTCCTCAATAAGTTGATTATCACTGGCATTGAAAATATCGCAAGGGCGAAAGAAATGCATACGATATGAAAAGGGCAACAAAAAGGATACAAAGTATTGCCATGACAGCTTTTTTGTCGACGTTAACTCTATCACGATGTTTGACTGTACAATCATGGGTGTTACTTCCTCCGCAACGCGCTCTGAAAAGCCGTTTGGGCGGTACGATGAAGCCTCGTATGGCATTAAATGGAAATATTAAAAAACCAACGCCTTCGATCCTCTCTATGGTAAGCACTAGCGCTACCAGTATTAACGGCGGAAACGGCGTATCGAAAGAAGATCGAGCACTTTTGGCTCGAGCGTTGGAGCATGCAAAGCTTGGATTTGGGCATACATTTCCCAACCCAGCTGTCGGTTGCCTGCTGGTACGAGAAGACACTGGTGATATAATAGGTTCCGGCTTTCACCCACGCGCGGGATCCCCACATGCCGAAATATTTGCGTTGTTGGAAGCCGCGGGTCACGTGGAGAGTGGGATTGCGGCGGCAAAAAATGTTCTTTATGGAGACGTAGGCGAAGGGAATCTGCAGGAACTCATCGATACATACAAAGGAACATCAGAAGATGATGCTATCAGTGATGGATCCGAAAAGCTCTTCGGGAATGCCTTCGCCGATATCCCTGTCACAGCCTACGTAACATTGGAACCATGCTGCCATTACGGAAAGACACCACCATGTGCAGCCTCTCTGGCACTTGCTAAGGTCAATCGTGTTGTAGTGGGCTTTCGGGATCCAAATCCCCGAGTAGATGGAGGTGGTGTCAAGGTGTTGCAAGATGCAGGAATCGATGTCGACATGGCCAAAGACAAGGGATGCGCTCGTATCGTCGATTCATTTGTGAAGCGGATATTGCCCAAGAACTACGACTCTGAAAATTACTCTCATGTAACAGGCCAGATGCGTCGTGCCTTGAGGAAAATGGCTGGTCAGCAAAAGATGGAAAACACCTTGCAGCAAGTCGGATGGAGCGCAAAATCAAAAGCTACCACCGAAGACGCAGTAGACGAATTAGTGCTTCCACCAGAATGGATCGAACACCTCGATGCCCTCCTGTGGCAGGAAGAACTGGTCAACATTCGACTCAACAAGGCCGTTGGAAAAAAGAAACTTGCGAAACAGCTTGGCAATCGGATTGCCTCTACGCTAGGAGCCCATGTGGCTCAAGTGGTAGGTCACACAGTCCTCTTATACCGTCCAGGAATTCGTCCCGTATTGGATCTGGAGGAACTCGTCAGGACACAAAATGTCGACGACGAATAAAACTAGGAATGGAAAGCCATTGAAATTTCAGCTATTTATATAGCGATGTTGTTTTCAACTTGAAAATAAAATAAAGTCATGAACCATTGAAAATAATTGTTTCAGAGTAATCAACAAGAGTGTGATCGTTTAGTGCCTATGCTGTACTGTTTAGAGACGATGTCAAGTCGACTTTCGATTTGAATGCTGGAGAAATGTCATGTGAGACTTTTTCTGCCTATCTATTGGGTACCTTTATTTTCCTTCGAAGCATCTCTTTGTGCACAAACGAAGCATGACTGATTGATTGGCTGATTCAGCAATTCGTCATTCCTGATACCCATGACATCGCTGTTGTTGAACCGATATGTCCGCTATTCGGTCAAAATGGAGAGTCTGTGCTGAATTCGTACTCTTTCTTCGTGATGGGGTGCGTGAATTTGATATATTTGGCGTGGATGCAGGGAGGCAACTTCTTTGCATTTACCGACTCATTTAGCAGCAGTTGGGTTTCGTCATCCGCTCGGTTGGGATTGGGAATCAATTCGTTCAATTCGGCTGGTGTCAAGCCACCGTTCGGCAAGGCTTCGCCGTTTATTCCGTACACGTTGTCACCAATAATAGGATGTCCAAACGCGGCCAAATGTACATTGATCTGATGGTATCGTCCAGTAATACTCGTCAATGTCACTCTCGTTACTGGAAAGCCTTGTAAAAACTCTCGCGATACAACCTCATACTTGGTAATGCTTTCTTTGGGGCCCTCCAGAATCTTTTTTCCAACATCCTCTGCTGTCAAGTCAACCAGGGCCCATTGATGATCATCAGTAGAAATTCGAACAAAGGGTGGGCATCGGTAATCCCTCATGACCGGAAGATTGATTAACCCGTCGTCCTTTTCAATGTGTCCCGCAACGAGGGCCTCGTATCTCCTGTCTACCTTTCTGGATCGAAAGACACCGTTGAGTTCCCGAACAGCGTTCTTATTTTTGGCCATTATAATCAATCCCGAAGTGTCCATTCCCAACCTATGGACAACCATGTGATCACCGGTTGGCAAGCTATTTTTCACATTTGCATGAACGCTAGCCGCTAAGGAAGGATTGTCATTCTTGCCTGGAACTGTCAACACACCGGAGGGTTTGTCGACGACTAAAATATTTTTATCTTCATGAATGATGACCAGGTCCTGGTATTGAAGATTAATACAATTGCAGGTTAGAAATAAGTGTCCAAGAGAAAGGGATAATGCTGGAAACGAAAAGTGGCATCCGAACGAATCAAGTCTCACCTCTTTTTCAAGTTGCTTGGACGTTTGATCCTTCAGTCGCATTTTGGCAAGTTGTTTCTCCAATCTAGAATTGATCAGCTCTGCAGTGAGCGGTCCTTCGTAATCCTCTTTGTCTGCTTCGAGAACCTCAGCCGACACGGTCTCTTCAAGCGGTGCCTCCACAAGAACTTCAACAGAACTGTATGTTTTGGTCGTCGATTCTTGGCGGCGGAAAGAAGGAGTGAAGGCCGATCCGCCAGACATCGCAATGGCAAGTAGTGCTGCTGTTGTGGAATATTTCATTGTGTTTTTCTGTTTGTGAATCGGATCAGAATGGTATGGAAAGATAAGCACGCCTTTTGCGAAATAGATCACTTCGGTTTTTTGTGCAATGGTTCTGTATTACTAATAATAATCGAATTGTTCTGTTGTTCCTCCCAGGGAATGTTTTCGAAAAAGTTGATGTGTTGATTCAATAAAAATATTTCAGTGTTGCATCAAACGACAGACCGACTGACTCGTTGTTGGTTCTTCTTGTATGTTCTTACTGTACAGTAACTACGTCAGTTCTTAGTTTTCAACCTCGTTGATTGTATTGTGGCCAGTCATTCTGGACGATTATTATGTTTCAAGCGAGATAATGGTACGAGTTCTCGTAATGATTACTAGTAACGCGTACGTAGCGTTCGTTAGTGGCGTTAGATACGTGGGAGAGGAACGAGGAAACCAAGATGTTGTAATTCGTACTGTGATTCTTCTACCGCAAGTCGTCTGACTCGTACCTACCGTACCGTACAGCTACGACCCCTGCCGTACGAGTACCGTACAGTACGTACGATAGGGTAAGGGAGATCAGTATCTTACGATTTGGATACTACGAGTGCATTTTCGCATTTCGAACATTCTGTGAACTGCGATGCTACTATATTCAGGGGTATAACAATCAGACTAATGTAATTTTTAAATTCAGCATTTCATAGTTCGCCGATATGACTCGGCTGTTGCAACCAGAGGAAGACGAAAATACCTTACTCCGTTGGCTTCGCAAATAGTGTTTAGGAAAAAAGCTTGGAGACAATCCTTATTGGGAGTAAGAACGAGTATGACTAAAACATAGAAAGGGGACCTTGGCGTGCGAAGACACCAGGGGTTCTACCCGGTGAAATCGCCGGCTTCTTCCTTGTAAATCTGTTCAACGGTCTTGTTGGAAGGATATTTCTCTTCTGCTTCCTCCAATCGGCTTTGGTAAACATCTAGACCATGGATGGACAAAGCATTTATATTGAACTGTGACATGGCGGTATGCGTCGCAGAGGCACCGTAGCCAAGTTCAAGGATGCCCTTTTCAGCAAAAGATAAATTGACTCCGTTCGCTCTAAATTTGTGAGCATCGTCCAATTTACAGTGTTTCCCAATGACAGGGACCCACTTGATCCAACCTGGAACTATCCCTGGCACCACATCTCCATCGTTTGAAACCCTGATGTGTCGTAGGAATCCTTTCTTTTCTAGCTCCTGATATTTCTTACCGAATGCTTCGTTTCCAATGAGGGGAGCAGCAAACGTAATTGCTTTAATCTGACTAGGAATGTGCTGCGCACTGGGGTCATTTCTGCTTTTCAAATCCGCMAAGTGGTAAGAAAAAAGATTTGCAAGGCCGCCACCTAAACTATGTCCGGTGACGTAAATGCCATATTCCTTCGTGATCTTGGGTTTGGGGTTCGTAGCTTCGTCGTCAAGTTTATCATCCGGGTCGAAGGCCCAATCAATAGACGATACGAGACGTTTCAAGTACGATTTTTCATTCGGATCGAGTGGACGTGGTGTGACAAGATAATCCGTAAAACCTGTATGTGTCGCGGGTTTATCCTCGTCAGCTCCCGTGAAAGCGGCGTGATCAGGGAACATATCTTTGTGATTAAGATCGAAATTCAGATTGTGACCCCAATCTTTGGTCCCGATCGTGCCACGAAATACCACGCAGAGCCATTTTTTTGTGTGATTCACAAGCAACCCACAAGTCAAGCCACCTTCTGACGTGCTGAACGCGTCATCCTGAAATAATTTCGAGAGGCAACAACAACGGATGTAAGGTCGTGTGTCAAAATTTCTCGTCAAAAAGTTACCAACACTGAACAATTATCATCATGTTACTGAATACGTGACGGTACCACCATACACTCACGTAGTCAATGATCTCAACATCCTGTTTCAGGTCGATGTTCATCTGCATATCACGCAAGAATTCGAAATCAGTGTTATCCAAGGATTCTGATTCATCGAATTTGATATCGCCTCCGTCTAGCTTGAAATATTTGCGATTAAATTCGTTGTCTAAGCTGAAAAACTTCATAATCGCTTCGGGAGTCACAGAATACGAGAAATTGCGATCTGGATGTTTCTGTTGCATACCACTGTCGGTGATGATCAACTCTGGATTCTTGAACTCCACTTGTTTTGGTGGAGGTGGACCAAACCAATCAAAAAACCCTCTCCCGGAGGCTGATTCTTCGTACTTGGAATCCTTGACGTTTGGATCGTGAATCCGAACGATATCGCGAATGGTATTGAAGGTATAGACAAACTGGAACGATATCGCGAATGGTATTGAAGGTATAGACAAACTGGGCGATATCAAGCATGCCATGACCAAGTCGAAAGATGTCGGCTTCGTCACCAACGCTGGCTTTGGCACATGTATATTTTTTCTGGGGGACCGACATGATTACTTGGTTTGCAACATGAAATATTCTATTTTGTGTGCGATTTGTGATGAAATGATTTTAGAAGCCGATAGATTTCATTACGTGCACCGTGCTGTATTTGCAACCCGACCAGAGAAGCGAAATTTCGATTACTCAAATGAACATCATGATAGCTAGTAGCACTGGGTGTCACAATTCAACTTCACCTGACGTACAGTGCGTGCGTACAGCCCTCTCAACCACAAAAAATATCAAAAAGAAATGTCAATTTCCATCATTCTTTGACTCCTTGGACCTGCGACATTCTTCAGAATGTCACATGAAGCGATGGATAAGTGGAGAAGTTTTGGACAATTTATCTAGTCTTTTTCATTGACAATCAGAGATATAATTGCAGTGGCTATCTGTGATGCGAAAAATTGGAACTTTAACAGAATGTTGCGAGCGAAAAATATCCAAGCACTTAATAAATCAGATTTTTCATCTTAAAAGACGGAACACTTTACGGAACATAACGCAATCCGCTGCTACAAAGGGAAAAAATTGTCGCTACCTGTACCTCCCAGAGTGCGATTGGTTTGGATTTGAACCGGTGCACTCTCCCTTTAGAGCAGGAGCCGAGTCCCGTTCCGCAAAACAGCGCATTGTCTGCGCTATCATGCTGCGAGGCATATTGCAAAGCGGGGTGGAACGCTGTACGACCGAATTGGAAAACTTTCTGTCCACGAAACCCGATTTTAAAAAAACGGAATTTGACTGACGAAGGCCTAGTAATGGTCGGGATTGCAGGCTGCGTCGTTCGCCCTTGCTATTCTTTTTGTACACCGCTATCCCAGGAAATGCGATGATTCTGTGTAAACTTACCGCGATTCAACCGAAGCAAGACATTACTATCCATGTTGCCATGGCATCGCTTTCACCATGTGTCGATGAATTATCGCGGCGTCGAAATTGTTTCTTCAAGGTTATCAAAACATCATTTGGTATTGAAAGAAAAATAATATGTATCGAGCGGGCATGGCTACAAATGTCACAGATCGTATTTCTCAACGCAATCGTCTTCAGATCTCATGATACCCTAAATGATTAGAGACGCATGTCGCAAGTCCCATAACTAGAAGTAGAAATACGGTACCAAGTACTGTTGTCCGAACAAACGAGAGATAAACCAACGTGTACCCTACATTATGAGGTAAAGGGTACGTACGGTACCGTACTTGAACCTGGCACCGTACGAGCAACGAGCACGAACGTGTAATATGCATGTACGAGTTACCGTACTGTATTCACTTAGACTGAGTTTTAGTAAAAAGGTACTTCTACCATACTGCACATTGAATTCTGAATTCTGGCACGTACGAAGTACTCGTACCTACCATACCGGACAAGTACAATAGGTTTTAGTACAAGTACTTATACGTTAAGTACGTACATATGGTACGTATTATAGTATAGTTTCGTTCGTTCGACGCATTGCGGTACAGATTGCGAAATGTATGTATGCTCTTTAGTGTGGTATGAATACGTGTTTACAATAAAGAGTGAGTGAGTTGAGTGGTGCTGCTTATTGCTGCTGTCACTCACTATTCACTCGTGATTTACTACGTGGTATTTGTACTGCCTTACCGTACACAGATTACAGATTACTACACTTCTTAGGAAATACAGTACTAGAAGTATTTGGGTATGTCCGGTACGTACCTCCGACCATGCTTACTCATAAATCGTACGATGTACGATACTCGTTCGAAGCACGAAACAGACATGAAGAGCGGTGTCAGACAGCTGTTTGAGATTTCAAATTAGTGATGTTTGGCAGCTTTCTGTTGCGAGAAGCATTCGTTCTTGCTCATTCGTACGAAGTACCGTACTGAACTGAAGTACTGTACCATGTACCATATTGTAGTACGAGTACCCGTAAGTATCATACCGTACGGTACGGTACGCAGTATGTACTCCAATACTGTAGTGATGGACCGGACGGACGGAACCCTCAAAGAATCGAATTGTACGGTACGGTACGCACTGGTGGTACAGAGTACCGTCCGTTAGTAGCAACTAGCAACGGTGTTATCGGAAAGTTAGTGTTCTTTACAAGCACCTTCGAAGTTATCGGCAATATCTGTTTTGCCGAGAGGATTCCGACGGCAAGGACCAGAAGACATCACCGAAAACGCAAACGATAAAGAACCAGGCATGGAAATTCTGTTGTACTGTACGAAGACCGATACAAAACAAAACACTTGTGCTTATCTGAATCATAATCTGCCACTTGGCGGTCTCGTAGTTTCGAATAATATCTTTCTTCAACAATAGGAACGGGGGGGGACAACTGCTGAGTGATTTAAACTTTCAATAAAGCTTGTTTACGCTGTTACTCAGAAACGAGAGTCACTGTTACCGACTGACCCTTGGTATAATACAGCACTGCGTTTTCCTCGGAACAGGCGATGAAGACGCTATCTGTGACCTCACCTGGTCTACTACTACTCTTCGCGGCATCATGTCTTTGTCTCGCCCATTGGATGTTGTTATTCTGCTTCCATGTTTCTGTCTCGGCATTAGAGATAGTCCCACACAGTTTAAACGGAGGTCGGTCGTTGATGAATCTACCAAAAACCGACACAATTCCAACACGAATGTTTGGGCTTGCAGGTGACAAATGCAATCTGACGAGGCGGCAGCGTTGCGACCATCGGCGTCGGCATCTAAGTCATCGTTTTTCCATGGCAATGCGGTTGTCGGCTGCAAGCAATGTCGATAGCGAAGAAGTTCGAAAGCGAAACTTGGAACAGCTCGACAAACTGCGAACGCGGGATCGCAGTTCCCGCAAGATAGCACCTAGCGAATTAAAGATTGTATTTGAAGATGATCACATTGTGTGCGTCAATAAACCTCCGGGAGTCTTGTGCGTACCCAGCGAGGAAGGCATACCGACGCTGGCGCAAACTGTGTTCGAAACCATCTCGCACCAGCAAGGCTCACTAGATCGAATGGTGGTGCATCGTCTCGGTATGGACACGTCTGGTCTAGTCGTCTTTGCCAAAACTATGGAGTCTCTGAGGGAGATGAACACATTGTTTCGAACGAGGAAAATCACCCGAAGGTACGAGGCTCTCGTGTGCGGGCACCTTGCAAACGACACAGGGACAATCGATCTGCCACTAATGAGAGATTATGTGAGACCACCCTTCATGAGGATATCCACGGACGAACACCAAAGAATCCTTCTGGATCTAGACGATGCGATTGTCGGCAAAAAACTCCTCGAGGCACCAAAGGCTAGCAGAACAGAGTACGAAGTAATTGCTAGGGAAACCTTTCTGGACACGAGATTGCCGGTAACACGGGTGCTGCTAACCAGTGTCACTGGCCGCACACATCAGTTGAATGTGCACATGGCCGCAATTGGACATCCAATCGTTGGCGATCGTATATATGGGGTGGATGGTGACGCGGTCCCGAATGGTGGCCTTGAACCATGGCACATGGAAAATACTGGTGGCAATAACCAAAGCGTGTCGAATACTGGAGTAGCTAGCAAAACAGAGCTAGAACGGTCAATAGGAGATAAGGCATCCAATATGTGTGTCCATGCAAAGAGTCTCTCCTTCCAGCACCCAATGCAGTCTCCAGAAGATGACCCACTGCATTTTGAGTGCGAGGCTCCATTTTAAAATTTGCGGTTCTGGATTGTTGCAATCTTGTATGATGTTCACAAAGGTCAAAACTCTACTTAGTGTACTTGTATAATATAGTATTGACGAGATTGCAACAAGGAGGGGATAAAATTGACTATCTTCTTACAAATATGTGAATAATTGATTTGCACACTAATCCAAAGGCTTCCAACACTAAATTGATGTTACCCTCATAAGCTTGGAACACAATACAAAATCGAAAAAGGTAGTTCTCAAATATTCTGGTGGGAAAGACCCAATTCTGCTCCTTTTTTCCTAGCAGACAAGTTATTTCCAAACCATGCTGAAAATGGGGAGCAACACTCTGTAGAGCTCCGTAAAATTTGTAATGAAAATAATGATGGCATCATTGATTTAGTGTTAGGAACCCCTGGATTGGTGCACAAATCAATTGGAGTTGTGGAGATGTTTTCTAATCATATCAACAAAGCAAGAAGTCATTACTATGTCTCCTGACTTGGGACAAAAATGCTCCCACCAGTTGCTCTGACGAGGGGTAGCACCTACCCATTGGAGGAGTTTAGTTGTAGGCAGCATGACCACCTTCTATGCATACTGACAAGACAATGAAAGAAAGATGCTGGACTCAGGAGACATAAGAGGGGTTGGTTCACAGTTTGGATGGATGGGAGTTATGCCACAATTGTTCTCAAGTGCACTACCATGCCAATGAAGGCAAAACCAAACACAGTGCATGCACAATAAGGAAACAATTAAAGTCTTGCAAGCCTTTCTTCTAGTAGCCTTGCCCTTCCTCACTGTTTGGTGCAATTGAGTGTTCTGCCTTAGACAAGTGTTGCAATTATACTATGCCTGCTCAACTGGATCATATCTTATCATCTGCAACACCAGCCTCTGACAAAACTCAAATAGCTTCCACTACTAATCACCAAGGCTCCCATCAGTACACTCTTTGCAGATATAGTATGCAGTAGCAATGACCAACACCTTTGCATGATTAATAGCAGCATGGTAATATTTCCACAATTTTTAACTGGTCCTTGCTCTGGAGATGTAAGCATCAATATGATCCAGTTTCCCATAGGAGTAAAGATAAAGCTCATGAGACTCATTCATTTCAATTCCCCTCAGCAGCTTCTTACCATTCCTCCTGTCCCTTTCCTCCTGATGAATATAAAGAGATGAGGTTAAAATAGAGTTCACTGATCCTAAATTGCAAGCTCCTGTGCTTTGGGATAAACAATGGACTCACCAACTCTTTGTTTTCTGTTTGAATTGCCAGTGGCATTCTTCTTGTGAAAGTACTTCTCAGGAACCTTTGCAGGTAATCTGTTCTTAGCAACTGTTCCTGTCATGATACCTAAGTCTTGCTCTTCAATCCAATCCAAGATGGAATCTGATAGGAAGAAATTGTCAGCTGTGATATGAGGAGGTGATTTCCAAATCTTCCCAGGTCCTATGTTACAGAGAACACAATGTAACATCCACAGTATCTGTCATTCCCAGCCACTCTGGGCTGGATGCAATCAACATCAGACATGAGAAAAGTCTCCCCTGGCTATCATCTTTCCCTTTAGATAGTTAACAAGATTTCAACCAAATCCTTGATACAGCTATCTGGTCTCTTCAATACACAGGTCCAAGCCACCCCTTTCAGTGAAATAGTTGGTGTTGTTGGAAGATAATGCTCCTGTTGTTGTTGCTCCACCTACAACAGGTGATGCTTTGACAGGAGAGCGCCTGATTTCAGGTCTGATCAGTCCCGTTTGACTAAACTCAACACTTATGCGCAATGTGAAGGCGCCCTCCGCCTCATTTTTCCTATCAAATAGACATAATCTACTTAAGGGGCATAGCCTCTTTCTATTTGTGTGGGAGACACACAATAATAAAAATAATGTAACATCGCCAATAATAAAATTTTATTATGCTGATAATAAAATTTTATTATTGTTTTATTAAGCTGTTAATAAAATTTTATTATTGTTTTATTATGCTGATAATAAAATTTTATTAATGAATGTTTTTTAATGCGTCATCGTGGAATGGTCTACTAATTGTACTTAAGTACACATTTTCATGAAGTCAATAATAAAATTTTATTCACGTTTTATTAAATCAATAATAAAATTTTTTTAATGTTTTATTAAAGCAATAATAAAATTTCATTAACTTATTAATAAAAATATTTTATTTAATGGGAAACTCCAAAGAATATGACCTTGATAACCCCCATCCTAAAGAACCATTGGATTGAAGAAATGACCGTTATTTTGAAGGAACTCCGTTAAAAAATTGTGCGCAATTGAGCGAAAACTGAAAATTCTTCATTCGGGCCCTCTCCAGATAATTCTTCACTGGCAAGAAGAACCAAGGGTGGTTCTTCAGCTACTTCAGAAAGAATACCAGCTGGGACACCAGTCAGTGCTTCTCCAGTGTTGGGTGCTGTACCCTCCAAAGCCTCACTTTTAACATAGCCTTGCTTCAGATCAAAGTCCTCCTCCCCAGTACCAAGATTTGCCTTCTGACCAATCAGGATGTGGGCCTGGCATGCCATCTTCACATACTGTGGCATATTTGGATTACCAGTTGAGCTCTTGATCCTCTTAGCTAACAGCTGCATACTTAGTCTTGATGGATGTCTGGCTTCTAAAGAAGGGTCGCAATTTTGGGTGATCATTCACTAGTAGTAGTAGTATGAGATCCCAGTCATCTGCACTAATGGGAAGCCTATCATGGGTGTAGCTCATCATGAGAGTAGTTTGCTGCACCAGCCTTCTGCTGGCCCATATTCCTAGTTTTTTTCATCTTCTTTCTTGTTACTCCAAAAGAATTACAGGGTATTGAAGAATGAGGAGCTCCCTCTCTGAGGGCGGTTTGGCGACAATGAGCTCCCTCTTTGAGGTCACCAGCCTCCTCGTAATGTTGCTCTCTTTGCTGCAACAGAGAATGGAAATAGAAAGTACTGACAAAGAGCACTGATCAGGACATATCTTATGTGTCTTGAAGGCACCTTGTTAGAGGCGCCTCTCTACAATAGATGAGTCTTAAGTTTGTTGATTCTGTCTTAATTTTTGGCGGGCCTTTCTGTTGAATCTTTCTAAGGACTTAAATTTTTGAATTTTGGTGAGTTCCATCATAAAATTTATTATGTTTGATGGGGTCGGTTTGGCCTCAATCAAATGAAATAAAAATTGTTACAGATGTAATAAATTTCTGGTCTATCACCAGTCTATCAAAAGTAGCACATCCATATAACAATGTGAAGAATCGGGAATTACTAGTAGTACTAGTAGTACCTACCACTATGATGAGGATTATTTTATGTCGTCGTTGGTAAATATGATGGTGGTTTCATATTTTACTGTTTGGATATTATGAGAAGAGAAATGAATGGGCAGAAAAGATGTTTTATAATTGTTTTAAACTTTTTTGGTATTTCAATCTTATTTTGTGTAGGACTTTTATTGCAGTCTACACTGGTGAAAAAAATGCACGATTTGGGGGGAAACGGGAAAAAGTTAAAAAGGCGGGACTGTGACAAACGTTAAAGGGGGGGCTCTCCACCTGGAGAAAGGGGACAATTTCCGGAAATTGTGCAATGTCAACATTCAACGTACATCATTTATCTGTAGCAGTACAACTGAACGTGGCGAACCTTTTGAGTTCTCTTGAGAAAAACCTGAATTTTGCTTCTCGCAGAGAATAATTTATTTCTCGTGCGTACTTGTTTGATTGGGTTACCATTCATTCAATCATTTAAGTGGCGAACCCTAGTAAGACAGAAAACTAAGTTTTGCTTCTCGCAAATCGGTACACAAAAAAAGTACGAGAAGAAATACTTCCTATCGAACATCCGGGGGCGTACCGTACGATACCTTCGGTAGGAAAAAATAACTCCTCACGTAATCGGTACGTACCTACGGTAGTATTCCAAAATTTCGAACTCCTCGCTGCTGCTGGTTTCGTCACAAAAAAGAGCCGCAACACTATTTTGTGAGTTGAAAAATAGTCAGGAAGTAACGCGCATCAACATGTCCAATGTTGATTTCAGGCTGTCCAGACATCTTTTCAGTATCGGAATATATTTCTATCTTATTGAATCACTTTAGTATGCACGGAACATATTGGAATGTGGTTATGTGAGACAGATAGTCTGGTCAAGTCATGTTATGTGATAAAAGTGCAACTTGAAAACTACTTCAAAAGATCATGACCATCAAGAATATATCCAAGACAAAATAGCATTAGTTGTAATTGCATCAAACATCACCTGCATCCTGAGGGATAATTCTTTATTTTAAATTTCCTTTTTAGTCACATTACTTCAATCACAAAACTAATTGTTTTGGCACCACATGGCTTGCTCATACAATCTTGTCACATTAGGGAAGCACATTAAAAACTGCCGAAGGAGCATTTGCACTTTCGTTCTTTACATTCGTTCGGTATACATTCAGTGTGAAAGACACCGAAGTTGACGTTCCGTTGTTATACGTAATACCTTGTTTGCTCAGTTCTTCTTAATGGCGGCACAAGCCGCTTCTACCAAGACTGGAAGATTCGGACCCTTTTCCCGCTGGATGTACTCCGGCGCCATGGTCTTGAGGGGTGTTATGATCGCTGCTGAATGTTTCTTTTGTTTCAAAATCAGCTTCTTGGGAGGCAACCTAGCAGCAAAGTCAATCTTGGTAGTGCTTGGGGAAGCATAATCGAAGTCACTGGTAAAATCTTGTGAGACCTGAGACTGGCGACCTCCATCCCTCGACCTGGGAAAGTTGCTCGGAATCTGCAGGCCAACAGGATTCGTGTTGCTGCCCCTCCCTTGTGTAAGCGAGGAGTTCGTATTTCTTGCGGGTGTGATAACCATTAAATCCGGGACGTTGCGGTCTTCTGTAGCCTTGCGCTTCGGGCTTCTTGTCGCAGGTGGTGGCGAAACAATTGCACTGGTAGTGACTGTTTTCTTGATAAGAGTCGTATTTTGACTTTGAGACTCTTCTAAAGCCATAGCTTTTGCCTTTTCCTCGACTTCAGGAAGATCCTGCTGTTCACCCTTAAGAAGAGCTTCGGCGGAGACCCGCACAGCAATGCGGCTGCATTTCTCGATCATGGAAGCCATCATCTCAGTGTTGAGGTGAATGGCCACATCTGTGAGCTTGTCCTCGCAAGCATCGTCCTCTCCACTGAGAAAAGTTCCGTTGATCTTGCCAGGCACGTTCAGATCGACCTGAACGTTTCCAGCTGGCGTTGAAATGTTCAGAGTGCATTGCATTTCAAGAATGTGTACGACATCGTAAACGTATTCACCCTCTTCTAACCCAGTTCGGTCTTCCTCTTCCCCTACCCGTCGCTTCTTGAGAGCCAATCCCGTTTCATCGACTTGCGAAACTTTGTTCAATACCTTGAAGGCAGTGTTTGCCTCAAGCACGTTGATTTTCCCCTTGATTTCACCAAGTGCCACTATAAGGAGGGCCTCGTTGGAGTAATAGAGCTCTTGTTGTAGCTGCTGTAAATCGTCCCCTATGGTATTGTGTTTGAGTTCCATTTCCTTGACGACGAGGGCATTAGAAAGTGAATCCACCCATGACAGGATCCTCCACTCGATTGCCTTCTGAACGGACTCAATCACATTCCGAGCCATGGCTTCGGAAGATAGTCTCATGGCGTCTTGATCGTCTACCTTGAGAGTCCTGCTCAGCATGCTTCCTGGGTTAGTGCTGCTTCCGACTGTGTTGTTTGTTCCCCGTTGTGCATCGTCTAGAGATAAAGAAGGGCACGTGAAACAAAAGGTGTCACGGCGCGAACCTCCACTACTCATGGATGTAATGCTGTGCGTTGGCGTGATTCTCCCTGTAGACAATGAAGACGAGGAGGAAGATGATGCATCAATCGCCACAGAAATGGATTCCCTACCGGTCAATTCCTTGGAATAATTGGAATTGCAATTTTGATGAACGATGTTGTGTCCTTCCCCGTCTTCGTCCGTTTGAACGGGGGAGGAACACGACAAACTCATAAGGAGTTTCGCTTCGCGGCGAACATCGCTGTTGTTTCCTATGATGTTAGAATCGTTGTTGTGAACAGACGATCCTAATTTGTATGCAAAACTGATCAACGCACACAACTCGCTAGAGGGAGGCGAAGGGACCACCGACGAAGCCGATGTATTACTGCTAGTTCTACTGACGTCGGAACCAAAGGAGGTGCCTCGCGACCAGCCCATGGGCTTGGAGGCGCTCACCACTACCTTCTTATTCATTGAGAGGAGTGCAATTACTGACCGTCTGGTCTCTTACCGTTGCTATTGATAATATGTTGCTTGAATTTTAGATGTTTGATTATTTACCGCAGTATTCTTCATAAGGGTTGTGTCTTTGTTTTCGTGTCTTTGCTTTTTTACATGAATTCTACGCGGTATGCGGAACATGCCTGTAGAAAAAGAGGTGCAAAATACATGTGCAGTAACAATGATGATTCACCGCTCTGCTCAAGCAGTACGGTACAAAGTTTATGATTGGCCACGCCCACATTAGCTGATGCACGTAATCCTTTACAACGAGGAATTCCGCACGAAAGTCGAACATTTTGTACTACTGGTGCTTAGTAAATTTTCGTGATACACGCCGTGTCTATCGTTATGTCTGTAGACCAAGCAGTTACCCAATGCGATGCCTGTAGAAATGTACTTAGAGCAGTACAAAGGTCGAGAATTATCAGTAATTTTTGTCGAGAGTTGTCTTCAATATTTTTTCATCCTTCCTGATTTCAAGAACCCCGAGAACAAACTGCGCGCAGCTGTGACACCTCTACGCGCGCCAGAATTCCTGCGAGTCATTGTATTATGTAATATCTGCGATTATCAAGAGATTATTAACCGGTAAGTATGCGTTTCATTTTTCGGCTTCGAAAGTGGGGCGGGTCCGCCCGCCCGGGACTAGAACTGATTGGTTGGCCAATCTAGGCAGAGAAAGATCTTTTCATACGTGTCTATTGATCTCATTTATTGCCGCAACGGAAAAATATTTCATGACTAGCTTGCAGCTTGGAGCTCTGTCACAAGAACCAATCGAGATGATTCACAGAAAGTCGAAACGAAAACTATTACTGTACTGCTACTCACTTAATACGTACTTACGTAGTAGAAACTGTACGGTGAGAATTTTACGTACGAATGCCAGTAGCAGTTCTGTACAGTACGAGTTTAGGTGTATGTGATTGCATTGATTTTCTAACTGAGTATGGGTCATAATTTTGCGAGTTTTTAGTAATGAGCAGCAAGCTTTGCTTTCTTGCTGTTACTAGCAAAGGACCAATCAAAGCAAGAGAATTGGTCAGTCAGTAAGGGTTTTCTTTCCATATGCATATTGCTATGTGAATTTTGGTGAGAACAAAAAAAACTCATTTCTTAGTACTAATCAACCCCCTCGTCATTCATCCAAGAACCTGGTGTCTGTTACACCCCTGTTGTTTGGAAAGACCCTAAACGACCTCCATAGCCCGTATAATCTGCATTCAAAGTGTATTCATTACAGTACTATAGTAGGAAAGGGATCCAGAAGTTGCAGATCAACTGACCAAGTGTTTTGGAAGATTTTAGCTATATTCAACCAGCATCAAAAACATCAAAAAATCACAGTAACAAGCAGCAAAAGAAGAAGCTACATTGTAACCAGCAAAACAAGCATATTGCTCCCTCCTCTGAACTAAACAAGCACTGCATTCCATTCATTATAATAAGGAAAAGGGGATCTGGAAATTGCAGATCAATAAACCAGTTGGTTTACAAGATCGTTTTGACAAAAGCTACTAGTACTACTACTAGTACTACTGCAAAACACCAACAACAAAAGGACAAGCACTGCACTAATTGAAGCACTGCAAGCATTATTGGATTCATAGATCCCATCAGAATCTGATCTGGACAATCTCTGTCTTCCGTCACATTCTTTGACCACTTATTGGGAATCAAATTTCAAGGGACAGACAGCAAGGAAGGCAGACTTCATCTCAGTCTTTTTGAGAATCTGGAATCTTAAATGTTTTGTAATGACTACAAAGAGGTCTTGGTAGGCATTTCTGTTGAATCTAATGTACAAAATTTTAATTTTTGGGTTCCATCACACATTTTGGATGGGGTTGTTGGACCCATCCTAAAAATGCTAAATCTATGACAACATGTGATAGATTTTTGGTCTGTCTGTCTATCAAATTTAGCATTTTTATAATAAAGGGAATCACCCAATTACCCCTAGAATAAACAATTTTTGCCCACACACTACTATCTGTATTTTTGGCTGACTGCATCATTTGGCTTTCCAATGCCATGGATCTGTAAGTAATTATATCAACTTGGACTGGGCAGTTAGTCTGGTGGTCTAGAGTTATTTTTTGATAGAGTTCTGGCCTATGTTCCAATCAGCAGCTGGTCTCCACTCACCATTTTTGGCCATAATGGCTGATAGTGGAGAATTGCCCCAAAAAATAGATCTTCTTGGTTGGACCACCATACTGCATAGATTTGTCAGCAGCTTCAGAGGAAGAAGCACCAGCAGTCTTTCTATCGTATAGCGTTAGCCAGCTAATGTATCATGGTCCCAGTCGTACATTTTGGGCTAGTTATTTCCGTGTAATGACTAATTTGACTAAAACGTACAAAATGCACGTGCTCAGTAGTAGTGTTAATTTTTGAGTCCCACAAGTGTGCAACCAAATAGTTTCACGTGCACGTGCTCAACTGACAATTTTGGCTTCAAACACATGCAATTTCTTAATCCCACGAGTAAAAAGATAGCCCAAAATCAGCGCACAGTACACAAAACACGTAAGGCATTAAGAGAGGTTCAACAAACTTGAACAGCTATAACTTTTCCCCAACAGACGCTTAAGTATGATAAGCACATGGTTAAAAAGAGAATTCAAAAAGCTTTCTAATGCCATGGGCGAGTAGGGTGTATGATAAGTATTGATTGCTTTTTTTGCTTGGCCCGCACTATACGATGATAGCATTGTGTTATTTTGTGTTGCTGGTTTTCATGGATACCTTCCCAAAAAACAGGACCAGTAACAGAGAGGGAACGTGTTGCACATGGAAGGAATCCCACACAATTGCTGGCACCCTTTGGTTTACATAGAGGGAATGTGTATGCACATGGAAGGAATCCCACACAATTGCTTTGATTTAGATTTACATAAAGTATCATGTCAACCAGATTTAGCTGCAGTATTATTCAGTACTCATAAATTGCAAATGGAGCAAATAGCAAATAGCAAATAGCAAATAGCAAATAGCAAATAGCAAATAGCAAATAGCAAATAGCAAACAGCAAACAGCAAACAGCAAACAGCAAATAGCAAACAGCAAACAGCAAACAGCAAACAGCAAACAGCAAACAGCAAACAGCAAACAGCAAACAGCAAACAGCAAACAGCAAACAGCAAACAGCAAACAGCCAAATAGTAGTTTAACTCAGTAATTGTAATTAGTATTTAATCATGGGATTAGACCAAATAGTTGTCCAAGGAGGAGGAGGACGAGTCCTTGTGTTGTCTCTTCTTCCTCTGCTTCTTGTGACAACTAGTAACAGCAGGGAGATAAGTGCTGGCAAGGACACAAACCATATATTTGATTTCTGATACTGTTGAATTAATGCTTCTTGGTGGGCTTTTTGCTGTTGCATTGTCACTTCTTGCAAGGCTTCTTGCTTAGTACTAACAAGCAGTTCCTGGTGCTTCATGGACATGTGGAACATGGATGTAAATTCTGTGTTGGTGCTGCTGATGCTGGAGCGGCTGGAGGCTCTTGGGTATGCTCTCTTGAGGGAAGGTGAGAGTGCTTTGTTGAGGAACAGAAACAATGGATACTTCTTGTTGAGTTGATTGGGTTGTTGTTTGAGTCAATTGAGTTGCTTGAGTTGAAGCAGTAAGTTGAGCAAGCTGCACCATCTGAGTTGCAGCCATCTGAATTTGTGTCTCAAGCTGAGTGAGCTGAGTTGGCGTTGGCGTTGGCAGCATTTCTTGAGTAAGTTGTGAAGGCTGTTGAAGAGGTGGAGGAGGAAGACATTCAACCTTGTTGTCAATGTTCTCATTGTCAATGTTCTCATTGTCAATGTTCTCATTATCTGCTAGTACTAAACTGGTGTAATTCTCACTAATCTTGTGTCCTTCTTCCAGATCAAACTCCTCTTCTCCATCTCCAATGGCAGCCTTGGCACCAATCAATAGCTTGATCTCCTTTGCAAGAAGCTGGATTGCTGGAGATATGAGTGGATTCCCAGTAGGAATTCCTTTCCTGTGGAGGGAAGCATACTTCCTGGTGATGGATTCCTTGTCTCTTCCAGTATTCCAGTTTTCGTCATGGGTATGGAAAACTTTGGACCAATTGGAAGTATCTTCCTCAGAGTAGTCACCATGCACATGGTCTCCCTCATGGTGTAGTTAGTGGAACCTTTTGACCTTCCTCCTCTTTCTTGAGCAGTTGGGCCTGCAGCTGCTGCTGGAGCTGCAGCCACTGCTGGAGCCATGATTTCTTGTTTATGAGCCATGGGATGAGCGATGCGTATCACATATGATGGGATCTCATGGTTTTCCTCCTTCCTGTCTTCCCTCTCAAGGTAAGAGCTCTGAGAGCGCTGGTGCTTCATCCCTCTCTTAGCAAGTATATGCATCCTCCCCAACAGAAGAATCTGGATGCTTGTGTTGCTATTAGTAACTACTAGAGGGTTGCACAAGCCTGCCAGCAGGTCCCCCCCTTCTATCATGTTCAGCACACTTCTCTTCTTTGGTGATTTCTTGTTGTTCCATTTTCCTTGTCTTTATTGAATGTGTTCTGTTCTTGTTGAGGGGAAGCAAAGATATGCTTTTTCTCTTAAGATCAAAATTTTCAGTTTACTAGCGCCAAGTGACTCCTGCCTTTAGTAGTAGCTTGTGACTGCTGACCTGACTGAATATGGTCAGTCAAGGATTCCAATACAAAATATGGCTCCCTACACAGATCCTGGTTGTTGTGGACCCACGACAACCAAAATTTATATATTTTGATACATCATAAAAAGAGCCAGCTGGTCCAAAAATGACATATTTCAATGTTTATTCTTGTATAGGCTTGGCTATTTTTTCCAGCCAATTCAATCGTACATTTTTAATATAATAAATACTATTCAATAACCCCTGCTGCTATAACCCCCATATCACTGAATTTACCTTTTTACTGGGATTCTATTCATGTGCTTATCATTGTTAAGCTTCCGTTGGGGACCAAGATATGCTTCGGCAAACTGTCAGTTCAAGACAAAAACAGTTATACATTAAATAACATGATGTGTGGATAAAGGGCCCTCTAATTACCATGTAATGACTCATGGGATTAAAAATTTGACTTGTACCACTGGTACAGCAGAGCATGTGCAAGCGAAA